CCCCAGGGGGGATGGCCACGCCACAGTCCCTTCTCCTCCATTCTCCTCTTGGGATCTTGGGCATGCACGCACACATGCCCGGCATGAGTTTTAAGCCACTGGGTCCAGGACGCGAACCGCAGTTGACTACATGGGAGTCCAGCGACATAGCCATTATGCTAACTGCTGGTCCCAACGTAGCGATTTTATACACAATATTTTTTCTTGGATCCGTCAAGTCATCTCTTACTGATCATTAAAATTTTCTAAAAGTTTATTTTTTCTTAATTTGCTAGAGGGTGCGCACTCTATAAAGCGAGACAGAAGAAAAGGAAAAAGCACTCCCTCCTAACAGGGCATGGTCACGCTGCAATCAGTTCTTTTCCATTTCTCCACTCTGTTGGCATCTTCGGCATTCACATACACATGTCTGGCATGTTGTTCAAGTCCCCAGGGCCAGGATTCAAACTCTGCGTTGGCCATGTGGCATCAGGCTGCCTTAACCACCAGGCCACAGAGTCGGCTGTCTAAAAGATTTTTTTCAGTTCATTTATTCTGAGAGAGAGACAGGCAGACAGGCAAAAAGATAGACTGACAGAGAAACAGAGAAAACACTGACAGGGTCTTGGCACCACGATCCATACCCAGCTCCAGCCAGCCTGGATCATGGACACAAGTGTGCCGAGTGCACTCTGAGAGGTCTTCAGACTGTAACCCTTGCATGTGGGCATGCCTCACAGTGTCACGTTTTCCTAGTATGCCCCTGTCCAGCTCCCATTAAAACTTTTTACTTGTGGAAACACTTCCTTGAGCTGAATTTTTTTTTAAGGAGTTTGATGTTTATTGTCATAATATATGTTCCTCTTCTGTCTTCCACATTAAAAAATTTCTTTCATGTGCTTTTCAGACTCAACATTTATAAGGTTAATTTAACCAGCAAGAAAAGTTTGACAATTTCCTATTTTTTTCATTTTATGTATTTTAGCTAGGGTAAATAAAACAGTATATTTTTAAAATTTAGTCAATTCTTTGACGTGCCTTATATCATCATAACCCTTCTCATTTTATACGTAAGGTAGTTACCTAATAGGTTCTTTCAACATTTTTGCCCCCTTTTTCATCACCTTCTCTCCTGATCTCTTGAAAGATGGATATTGGGAAATATGTGGATGTGCCAATCCTCTAAGATAAAACAGGAGCTAATAATGACCAGGTCATAGTAAGCTCTATAGACTGCTTTTCTCTTTCTGTTCTCTGCACAACAGAGGAACAGACTTTTGGAAGCAGCTGGGGTTGTTGCTGTTTTTCTTAAAGAAATTCTCTGCTGGGGGAATAATAATCCACATTTGTGGCAAGCAGTTTTTCCCCACTGAGGTCAGTGGAAACGGAGCAGCCAAACAGTGGCATTTCTTGCTTAATCAGCAGGA